AAAAAAAAAAAAAAGAAAGGTCTCATCTAGAAATGCTTCATCAAGGAAATCATTTGGGAACTGAAATACACCAAATAAACCTAGACATTTGATGAGATTATAAAAAGCTGTTGGATAAGTAAAAAATTAAATTAAGTAAGAGGAATAAGTTTTGGTCTTTTATTGCATAGTAGGGTGACTATATTTAACAATAACATATATTTCAAAATAGCTAGAAGAGGGGATTTTGAATGTCCTTGTCACAAAGAAATGATAAATGTTGAGGTGATGGATTTGCTAATTACCCTAATATGATCATTACACTTATATATATATAAAAACATCACATTGCACTCCATAATTGTGCACAGTAACTAATTATGTGAATTAAAAGTAAAATTAAGTAAAATAAAAAATAAAAATAAAATAACCTAAAAGCTGTTGGAATTAATTACATAGATTTATTAATACTAAGGTATTTTAAGGTATTTACCAGGATTTCCAGCAAACATGAGAGCAAAAAACACAATCAGGAATCCAGTTAATATGTAAAAGTGTGGGCAGCACCTGTGGCTCAGTGGGTAGGGAGCCGGCCCCATATATCGAGGGTGGCAGGTTCAAACCCAGCCCCAACCAAACTGCAACGAAAAAAATAGTCAGGGGTTGTGGTGGGCACCTGTAGTCCTAGCTACTTGGGAGGCTGAGGCAAAAGAATCGCCTAGGCCCAGGAGTTGGAGGTTGCTGTGAGCCGTGTGACATCACAGCACTTTACCAAGGGTGATAAACTGAGACTCTGACTCTACAGAAAAAAAAAAAGTAAAAGTAGAATGCTAATTATATGTCCCTTCTTCCATTTTCCTCATCAAACTCATCTCACCTCTTCCCATTACCTACTGTATATAGACTCCTCTGGTAGACCCCAAATGGATTTGATGAAACTTAGTATTTATGTTTATTAAAAGCCTAGAAAGATAAGGATTCATTATTAATGAAGGATTCTATTGATACATGGGTCATTACAAAAGTTTTAAGATGAGCTGTGTTATGGTCCATTATTTCACTTCCAAGAAACACAGTCAGCAGCATCCTTTCTGATTCACCCATCCAAGTTTCAGCTTGCTTGGCTTATTGGTATTTCATGGAGGGTTTCATTTGTTTCCATCTACATGGATTTTATGTTTCTTGATTTTTGTGTATCTCAAAACTTACATAAAAACCCATGTAAGCCAGCAACTAATGTACTCAAAGCAAAATTTTTAGATGTGTACATTGTTCTTAGGGAAAAAAACAATATCTTCCATCCAATGTGTGTTATTTAAGATCATTTAAGAGTACTTGATGAAGTATGAATATGAGAAAAAGGAAACTATGGAAAAAAGATTTTAGGAAATCATTACAGAGAGACTTCCAGTTTCCAATCTGACATGTGAAGAGCTTAGAAGCCACTATTCTATCCCAACAAGTAAAAAGCTCAACAAACTAATAAATCAACAACTTTTCTAAGATCCCTCAGAGAAGTGCAGTCATATGTAAACCACAGCCCCCAAACTGAACTGACAGGAAAATACAATTCACCAAAATAGAAACCTCTCCAGGAACCAGGATCAGTACAGGAAAACCAGAACTGTAACTCACAAAAAGCTAGAGACTCAATGTGAACAAGTCTGTGGTTCAAACCTCCAGGCATAAAGGACTTCCCAGGCTTTTGTGAGTTTTAGCCCAGGAGCTGTACCAGTTCTTCATGGTGATATCAAAGAAAAATTCCCTTGTGCTTCCAGTGGAGGGAAAAGAGAATAAAGATTTCTGAAACACACAAGAGCATTCTACTCTTTTTAACAAGTCCTACCATCAAGAGGAACTATATTACCACAGCCTAGCCTGTTGGGGTTTTATTTATTTGTTTATTTATTTTTTGAGACAGAGTCTTACTATATCGCCCTGGGTAGAGTGCCAAGGCATCACAGCTCACAGCAACCTCAAATTTTTGGGCTTAAGCAATTCTCTTACCTCAGCCTCCCAAGTAGCTGGGACTACAGGCGCCTGCCACAACACCTGGCTATTGTTTTATCATTGCAGTTGTCATTGTTGTTTAGCAGGCCCAGGCTGGATTCAAACTTGCCAGCTCTGGTGTATGTGGCTGGCACCCTAGCAGCTGAACTACAGGCCCAAGCCCCTGTTGGGGTTTTAGCAGAGCCTAACCTACCTAACTTAGGGAAGGGAAATACCCCAATCCCCTAGCCTCCCCATAGGAATAGGCAATAATAATCCAACTCCAGCCCCATGCAGCCATCCTACCACATATAAGGTGGGAGAAAACTGAGAAGAACTGTTGAAATTCACATTCTGGGGCATAGGCTTAACAAAAGACTGAGGGCCAATTTTATGATTATAAAATGCTTCCTCTCCCGACACTTTACCTCTACATTACTAAAGTCCTATTTACTGCAGTTCTTTTTACCCAGTACATCATGCCTAACTTTCAACATAGAATTATGAGGTATACTAAATGGCAAAAAGCAATTTGAAGAGACTGAATAAGCATTAAAACCTGAGTCAGATAGAACTATTGTAATTATCTGTCCAGAAATTTTAAAAACTATGATTAATGTACTATGAGCTTTTTTTTTCCTTTGACACAGAGTCTCACTTTGTCGCCCTTGGTAGAATACAGTGGAGTCATAGCTTACAGCAACCTCAAATTCCTGGGCTCAAGCCATTCTCTTGCCTCAGCCTCCAAGTAGCTGGGATTACAAGGTGCCTGCCACAGTGCCTGGCTATTTTTAGAGATGGGGTCTTGCTATTGCTCAGCTGGTATATACCAAGAGCTTTCATGGAATAAATGCACAATGTGAAAAAGGAGATGGATGATACATGCAGAGAAATGAAAATTATAAGACTCAAAAAATGCTACAAATAAGAAGTCCTGTTAATGGAAATAAAGAATGCCTTTGATAGCCTCACTAATAGTCTGTACAGATATCTCAATATAAACTTCCAAAACTGAAAAGCAAAGAGAGAAAAAATTTTCAAAAATAAAATACAATATCCAAGAAAGATGGGAAAACTACAAAAGGTATAATACATGTGTAATGAGAATACTAGAAAAAGAGAAAAAGGAACAGAAGACTATTTGAAGAAATAATAACTGGGAATGTCCCCAGATTAATGTCAGATACCAAATCACACATCTAGAAAACTTTGCACCAAGTAGATAAATACAAAAGAAAAAAGAAAAGAAACCTGCAATTAGGCATATCATATTAAAACAGACAATAAAAAATTAAAGAACCTTGAAAGAAGTCAGAGGAAAAGAACAAAACCTTACCTATAAAAGAACAAAGCTAAGAATTATAGCAGTCTTGTAGTTTTGCTTTTCAGTTTCAGTTACTCATGGTCAACTGTAGTTCAAAACTATTAATAATATTAAATGGGAAATTCTAGAAATAAACAATGCATGTTTTAACTTGCATGCTATTCATGCATGATAATATCTTACACTGTCCCACTCCATCACACTCAAGATGTGAATCCTTTTGTCCAGCATATCCATGCTACTGCCCTGTTAGTCAGTCTTAGTAGT